GGCATCGACCCTCCCTTCCCCTGCCAGGCCGTGTTATGAAAAATGCCGTGCCAGGGCGAGGGTTAACCCGCGACCGCCTGGGGGGTCGGATCCGACCCCCCCCCCCTCCGTTTTTCTTGAATAACTCATGAACCGCTTGCGCTATCAACTTGAAACTTCGCATACCTTCTCCCCCATCAATTTGACGTCTCCTGTGCAATTTTTAAGAAAAAAAAATCAAAAATTTCTGAGATATATCGATTTTAGTGATGTAACTACATGGCGTTTTCAGTCAAAAAATGGTAAATGTTTAAAAAATCGCCAAAAATCGAGGTTTTAAGCAAATTGCAAATTAAGGACATGAAAAGACGCGGCTCAACGAGTTCTTTAAAATGGCTATCTCGGAATTTCCATAAAATGCGTTTTTCACCCCTAAAAATTCAAAAAACTATATTTTTTAGAAAACAGCTAATAAAATCCAAAATTTTGAGAATTTACAAAAAACCGGAATATATGTTATAGAGCTCTATTAGAACATAAGGTGTCCCAAATTTCAACTTTCTATCTTGCTTTTTGACCCCCAAATTGTAAAAAATAGCTCTAACATGCATAGGGCATGGTGACGTCATAAGCATTTTCGCGAATTAGAGGCACTTCTGAACATCGCATGTAAAAACAAATGGCACCACTAGATTCCTGGGACAAAGCTGGTCTAGAAAAGTGCATTGTTATGTCAAAAATAAAAAGTTGAAAAATTGACTTTTTTTCTTAGCCCTCGTTTAGTTATGTATGGTATAAACGATTTTTTATGCTTTCAATGCACACTCATCACCAGCACAGTGACTTAGGGTCACATATAACCATTACCATCGGATTTGGCGTGAAAAATAAGCCATAAAACATGTGTCGCACGCCCATGTAGCAGAAAGTGAAAACCGTGACCTTTCGTGACCTGACCTGACCTTGACCCGTACTTAGTATGACCCCTATACGCACATGGTACCTTCACTAGGTCTTTGAGGTCATTTGTGGTGAGTTTCGAGCAGCAGGTATCGATTCCGCTGTCCGTAAGCCTAATCATGCAAAACCCCTGAATTTGACCTTTGACCTGACCTTGACCCGAAAGTTGACCTCAATCTTAAAATCTTAAGAGTGCTTTGGGAGGGTCTCGTAGAGACCTTTCGAACGCCGCCTCGCGGGGCTCGATACGACCATTGGTTCTCGAGATAACAGGGGGGGGTCGGATCCGACCCCCCCCCAGGCTGATGTGGGTACGGAAATAGCCCAGGCGGTGCCGGGTTAAATATCTCGAGAAGTAAGAGTCCGAATCACTTCCAATTTTAACACGTGCAAGGTACATCCATAAAATTATTGTCTTGCATGCTTAAACCATTTTTGATCATAACTACAACGCGCAGTAGGCATAAAACTGAGAAGGTCGAAATTCAACTCTTAGAGAGGGTCTGTCATTAACCCGCGCCCCAGTGGCGGTCTCAGCCAACTTCGCCCTAGTGGGGGGGGGGGGGGTAGCATATGTTACCACCCACCTCTAACTCAAAAACTAAGAGGGCTAGAAAGACGCGGGAAAAAGCAGTCAATAGCTCTCAATGCGTACGTTTGAAGGTATTTCAGTCATTTTTCATCTTAGAGCAATATTGGGGTCACCAGAGGTCATCAAAGGTCAAAATTTGCCAATGGTCATAATATTTTTTAGAAAACATGCCGCTATCTCAGGAACTATGGTAGCTAGAAAAACGCAGCATGGAAAAGCAGTCGATAGCTCTTGAACTCTTCTTTTGAAAAGGTCATTATCAAAATTGACTTCAGGTCAACGGTTTAGCCTCCAGAGGGCAAAAACTCCAAAAATAGCTGTTTTTACGAAAAGTGTTTTTCGACAATTACTTTCAACTACAAAAAGCCACGACATTTCTATTGCCAGAATCGTGTTCCACTCGCCGAGACGCGTCGAATGAACTACAATTTGACCTTGAAAGGTCAGCTTGAAAATCTGACCTCAGGTCAAGGTCATGACCTGACAGGAAAAGGTCGTCATGTTGCATATCAGTCGATGCGGCTCGGCAAGACAAACACAATGAGACCATCCCCAGCGTTCTATCTCTTTCCATTCGCGAGTTGTGGGCAAAAATCTGTAGCCTCAAATGACCTCGGATGACCTTTCTAGAGGCTATCAGCAAAAATGACATCTTGGTCATCACGGTTGGTACAAATCATTGTGATTCTGAAATATTTGGACTGTTCCTATGCGTACACACGGATCTAGAGGCATTTTCATTTTTCTCCATCGACTTGTAATGTAAAGGTCACGCCACTGACCTGACCTTAGGTCACAAATATAAAAAAATCCGAAATATACAAATTGTCGGCGCCCATAACATCATGCACTCCACCAAGTTTCAAACCTTTCCGACAAACACTGCAGGCTGGACATGATTGCAAACTTTTTTAGGCTTGGTCAGTTAACTTGACCTGGTGACCTGACCTGAAATGACCTCGGTCAAAAATTTCACACATTGTTCAAAATTGATGTACCAAAAGCTACCCCAAGCGGCGCGGCGCTACGCGCCGCGGTTTTTTATTCACACGCCAAAAACGCAACAGGGTGGTAACATATGCCCCCCCCCCCCAACTGGGGCGATGGTTAATTATAACCAGTCGATGCGTCTCGTAACGGCTCACACGTTCGTTTTTTTTCCGTTGCGCTCTAGCTCCATCGGGGGCGAAACGGCAAAGGGGTCGTACCCTCCCCCAATCGGCCGGCACGTATGTAGAAAACAAATAGGTCCAGCGAGGGTTAACCCTCGCCCTGGCAGGGGGGTAATGCAACCCCCCTAAGGTTTTTCGAAGATAGCGTAAAAACGGCGGCGTTTGGCATAACCTATGGGGCAACCTTTTTACATATGACCTGAAAATTTTGAAGTCCAGTTGACATTGGGTCAGGTCACCAGGTCAGAAAAACCAGTAAAAGGTCATGGTCAAATTTCAATTTTCTTTTTTCACCTGTCCAACTCACAGTTTTGGACAGATTTCCTTCAATCTTTCTGGATGTGCTAAGTTCACCGAGATGTATAGCATATAGTTCGTTTTTTTTTAGGTCATTGACCTGAGGTCAGGTAGAGGTCATTACGTCGTAATGTTAAGCCTATGGGAAAAAACTAAATTCGGAAAATACTGGAGATATCCGCTTTGTTCCATAACATTTGTGCTTTGAAACCATAGTAATTAATAACAGGTCATTTGGCGCTGCTTTGTTTGGTGTACTTATCCATGGGTCAGGTAAAATGAGGTCAACTGAGGTCAAATGACGTCTTTGCCAATAACTTGGCACATATTGACGCTAGAGCTTAAAAGATGGTGTCATTGTGTTCCTTGTGATCAGCCGAATCGAATGATATGCGATATAATGCAATTTGGTTAACTTGAACTTAGTTAATTAACCCTCGCCGGCCGAGGGGGGGGGGTGCCGCCCCCCAGGTTTTTTTCGCGATAGCTCCGAACACGCTGGCGATAGAGAGCTGAAACTTATAAGCGAAAAACTTTTGACCTGTTTTTAGCGAAATTTTTACATTTATACCCCCTAAATATTGACCTAGAGCAACTAAATTTGCACAGGGGCGAGAAATCCAGGGGGCCAGCCTACCTACCAAATTTGTGTTTCTAGGTGCCATAGGAGTCAATCGCGAGGGGGTCGCATCAACCCCCCTGCCAGGCCGTGTTATGAAAAATGTCCTGCCAGGGCGAGGGTTAACCGCGCACTGTTGGGGTCTGTTTATAACGCGACCTGGTGGGGGGGGGGGGCTATTTTTTGCCCCTCGTATCTCCGAAACAACTGGACGGATCCGCAAAATTCAAACGGCGTTCGAAAGGCCTGTCGAATTTGTCGAAGGAAACCAAATTTCATTGACCTTAGGGTCACCGATGACGTCACAGGTCAGGTCAAAGATGAAATGTTTCACCGTTCACGGGTCATCTAGGGAATGCGCAATAACACCGAAGAAAACGCATTTTGTCGAAAATCAGCGATAGGGCGTCAGTTGCCTAGTACATATGTTGCTATAAGAGTTCACTGACATTACCAGGTCAGGTCACAGGTCAGGTCACATGAACCTAACTTTAGGTACTAAGGTTGTGCGATGCATGTTTTATGGCAAATTTTTCATTTGCAACTCAATGGTGTTCGTTATAAGTCTTTTAGGTACGGCTTAGGTCACTTTCTGGTGAAGGTCAGGTCAAGGTCAGGTAAAATAAGGTCAAATTTTAAAGTTGATAGTTTTGCATAAAAGGGGTATTGATTCGATGCAGCTCGTCACGGGGAGTCTAATGGTGGTCTTTGTTTTGCGCTAAGGGATCTAGAATTGCTAAAAATTAAGTTTGGAAATTTGACGTCATCAATTTTGAACCGTTTTTCGCTATAACTTCGCCAAAAAAGAGTATCAATCTCAAATTTGGTATGTGGATAGGAGGTAAGGATATCACATATATTCTGTTTTTTTGCGAAATTCAAAAAACTTTTTGGATTTTTCGGCTATTATATTCAAAAAATCTATTTTTTTTATTTTTGGGGGGTCAAAATCAAAAAAATTCAAAAACCCGAGATAGTAGTTGTGTAGCCCTGTCAATTCTACAGCTTTTATGTCTTTATCGTTTTTCTGTATTTGCAAAGCTATAGGCCTGACAGCTCCTCCCGTGAAACCCTTTTTTGGGTCAAAAACGGCAGAACATGACGTCACTCTGACGTCATTTCCGGCCAACCTATCATAGCCTTTGGATTTTTTTTTGTCACAATGTGTAAAATTGATGTCCGGTAGGGTACTGAAAGTTTGGTGACGATCGGCGCAGCGGTTCTGGAGATATATCGAAAAGTCAGGAGGGGGGGGGAATTGCCCCCCCAGGGCGCAGGTTAAGGGGCGAAATAGCCCCCCCCCCCTACGGGTGGCAGTGTCCTGCGATAGCCCTACGGCTCACGGGGCGTACGGGTTATGCGAATCATTTAGATAGCTTACCTTCTGTCATGACGAAATAGAAGTAGGTATTGGTTTTTTGTAACAAAAAAGTTGGAACTTGGACGAGCGGTCACCATTACAAAAGAATCTAAGGCGGAAAAAATAAAAATAAATAGTACCAAATGCAGTAAAACAAATATTACACCTACAATGTATTAGATATTATTCAGGAGGATGAATGAAGCTATGAAGGTTTTCGAGCATTTACTTTACCGTTTACGTATCGTGACCGAATTGTGACCCAAATTCCTGAAGGCCGTCTTTCTGATCTTCGCTCTCAATCACGTTTACATCTCCTTATACCAATACCTATTTAGAGTTGATGCCACATGAAAACACAAGAATCCGTTTTCGCCGGCATTTCCCTCCGCTCCCTCCCTCCGCTCCCCGATACAATCCGTTGCCAGGCAACCGTTGTCATGACAACCAATCTGGGCATTCCAATTGGCCGAGTTTCCCGCCATACCGGGATCCAAGATTGTGAAGGATGCACAGTTTACAGTTCGCATGACGCATTGGCCCGGGGGGGGAGGGACTTCCCTTTTCGGTGATTCACTATCCACCCACAAAATGCCTGTTTTTTGTTATATGGTGAGCTCAAATGGGGTTAACCCGCCCCCTGTATGGCCGTCAACCGACCCTGCCACCCGTGACTCCCCCTCACCCCCTCCCAAAGATCTCGGAAAGTTACCGACCGATTTTCGAATTTCAAACGACATTCGATAGCCCCAGCGGAGAACTACCTTGTGACCAAATTTCATTGACCTAGTTTAACCCTCGCCGGCACAGGGGGGGGGGGTGATGCAACCCCCCTAAGGTTTTTCGCGAATAACTCGCGTAAAAAGCGGCCGATCGCGACGAAACTTTCAGTGCCCTCGCATTGATCAATTTAACACTATCCCTGAAAATTTCATGACCCTGACCCCAATGACCTTTGACCTGTGACCTCTTTTCCGAGACCATGTTTGGCCGGAATCGCGATTCAGCATATGTCGGCTCACAGCCGCGCGTTTGCAAGCTTTTTGTGGTTTCAAACGTTCAAACATGTAATTTGATGTCGCTCCCATACATTAGGGTGGGTGTCAAGGTCACCTGAAGGTCAGGTCAGGTCATTGACCTTTGGTGACCTCGGGTGACCTCGGTTCACTTTTTCGAGTTTTAGGGGAGAGTGGGGTGGGTTGTATCAGTTTTTACTCCGAGACCCATAACCTCGTGACTATCCGTGATAAACTCATTATTTCCATACTATCTCCTTCCTTGATTCTTCTGCTTTTGTGTGCAAAGTAACTTTTCCGCTACCTCTACCAGTTTTTCTTCTACGGTCTGCCGAACAGAACAATGTTTTTGATACAACTTGCCCCATGGCTTGGGTGAGTTGTATCACATGGTGGGGTAATTTGTATCACTAGGTATTTCACGTTTCAGGGAGTGTGCTTGCTACTGGTTTTGAACATAACAACAACATTAACCCGCGCCCCGTTGGGCTCTGCCGAGCAACGCGCCCGGTTGGGGGGGGGCCATTTTGGCCCCCCCTAAGATCTCGAGAACCACGCAACATAGCGACAAGCGGTAAACGGCGTTGGATAGCCCCAACGGGGAACTACCTTGTGACCCAATTTTATTGACCTAGGTCAAACCGATGACGTCACAGGTCAGGTCAAAGGTCCAATTTTCACCGTTTACAGGCATTTCAAGAAATGCGTTGTAAAATCGAGTAAAATGCATTTCATTGAAAATCATCGATGGGGAAATGTTCTTCAAACACATATTTTGCTATTTGAGGTCACTGATACTAGGTCAGGTCACAGAGGTCAGGTCACGGGGGGGTCACAATATGAAAGTGTCGTGTGATACATGTTTTATGGTCCATTTTACATGACAAATGCGATTATGTGGGTCAGGCAGCCTTTGGGGCCAGCTTAGGTCACGTTTTGGTCAAGGTCAGGTCAAGGTCAGGTCAAGGTCAGGTCAAATTAGGTCAAATTTCAAAGTTAATATTTTTGCATAAAATGGGTATCAAATCGATGCAGCTCGTCACGGGGAGTTCAATGGTGGTCTTTGTTTTGCCGTACGTGGTCTAAAATCGCTAAAAATTGAGTTCAAAAATTTGACGTCATCATTTTTGAACAGTTTTTTCGCTATAACTTGGCCAAAAAACGAGATATCGATCTGAAATTTGGTATGTATATAGAAGAGCGCTGGGACTATCACATATATTCCGGTTTTTTTTTCGAATTTCGGAAAAATGTAGGATTTTTTTAAGTTTTTCTAAAAAAATCAATTTTTTGAATTTTTTTTGATCAAAAACCAAAAATTTTGAAAATCCGAGATAGCAGTTTTGTAGCGCCGCTTTTTGTCTACTAGACCATATAAAGAACTTTGCTTGATAACTTTGAACTTTGATTGAAATTGCTTGATAACTGTAGATTTGGTGAGCGTTTCAAGATTGCATGTTTTTTGTTCATTTTTGCTCGAACATGACCTCAGTTTGACCTCAATAACTCCTGACCTAAGGTGACCTAAGACTTGAAATTTGGTGTGAAGGTGTCAAATTGATGCCCGGGAAGGTACTGAAAATTTGGCGGCGCTGCGCGCCGCCGTTTTCTTACTATTCAGGAAAAACCACAGGGGGGGGGCCAAAATGGCCCCCCCAACGGGGCGAGGGTTAAATGGGGTTAATACAATGTATATGCTCAAAGGCTTCACTTTTATTAGACCAAACTTAGGTCAATGCAATCCGAACGAAACATCGAAACGAACGAAACATCAACAGACTAGATGCAAAAGTGGCCCGTTAAGAGCAAAGAAGCCAACACATTGTGCCGAAATGGAACGAGTATTGACTAGCTGCCTACAAACGCGAGACAGGGCTTAGCTTTCGCGATCAAAAGCAACATGTCCATACATACATACATGTTACAACATACCCCACCCGGCTCTGATACAACATGTACCTCGCCGCCATCTTGGAAAAAACATCGTCGTGCTCAAAAACAGCGGACAGCTGGATAAATCCATTTTCACTCACGCAGCCTTAGAACCTACCCTCACCACCGCTACGGAGATCTTTCAAATTCGTGCACATCTAAATGCCCAAAACACACATTTTCTTGCAACTCATTTTTTTAGAATGACACTAGGGTGACCCGCGTGCTCCGCAACGCGAAAAGGGATATTTTCGATCGCCGGGTGTTCGGTTGTTCTTGTGTCGGTTGGGTTATCTATCCATTTCGGTCGATTGCTTTTTGACGGCTAAACGTTTTGGTTTGTGGAAAAAATATCCACCGCATCGAGGTGCCCGTGTCTGATAAGCATGCTTTCCACTTCAGAATCTGTCAAATGTGCTTTATAGTTTAGGCGCGTAGTTTAACCCTCGCACGACCAGGCCATTTCTCATAACACGAACGACCAGGGGGGGGGGGGTTGTTACGACCCCCCCCCCCTGGCGTTTCGAAACGGAAGGTCGTAGAGCTTAGCGGAAAAAACCAACGGATTGCTCTCAACGAGATCTCGCGATTGGTGGTATATTTTTTGGTCCTAGGTCAACATTTGACCTACTTATGACCGGTCAAAGGTCAAATTTTCGGACAAATAGACTTTTTTCAACTTTCCGCGGCGATTGCGGCAAAACGGTGGGAGATATCGACTTGAAACCTTCACTATCGTGTTCCTTGATCAATTCTCTATCGTTTGGTATGTATTTCGTTTCCCTAGCTCTAAAAATGGCGCGTTGGGAGCGCCGGAAGTCGGCAAGGTCACAGTCGGCGGCAGAAATTCGAAAAATCAAAATTCAAATTTTTGAAATATGATTGTATTTTTGGATTTGGGAGGTCCATTTGCTCCCTATAGAAGCTAATATTGCTGCATATTCCCATTGAGGTGACAAGAATTAGCAAAATAGTGGTTCGGGCGCTTTAAAAAAAAATACCGGACGCTGTTCCTCTTGTGACGTCATAGCTCCGTGACCTGACCTGACCCGGTCAATTTTCTTGCACCACACGATAGCCAATGCTTGCCCCAACATGCATGGGAAGTTTCATCATGATCCATCAAACAATGTGGGTATCAGCGGCAGAAAACCTAGGGATTCGTCGCACACGTTTGGTAACTGTCGGCCGGAGGCTGTACCTCTTATGACGTCATAACTCCGTGACCTGACATGACCCGATCAATTTTTTTCGGCAAAAGATGCGCAAAGGTTGCCCCAGAGGGTATTGAAAATTTCAGCCCGCTACGACAAGCCGTTTAGCGTGCACTTCGAAAAAACCTCAGGGGGGGGGGGTTGATACAACCCCCCCCCTAGGCGTTCTAGGGTTAATGACAAATTAAAGGCGTAAATAATTTTCACTAAAAATCGTTTTGCAGAGGTTTGAAACATTTATATTTTTAAGAATACTGTTGCTTGTCATGCAAACGTGATGATTGGATCTTGGAGAGAATTGAATGCTTTTTCCAATGATAGCATTTTCAATTGTCAAACGTATCAGGTTAAGCAGCAAAGTCCGTGTAATTATTTAGTGGCACATTTTGGATAAATACCATTTAATTCAGCGATTTTTTCCACATTGTTTTTGATCAATTAGCTTTTCACAATTTCTCCATGAGAGACGGTACATTTTTATTGCTAATAGGCGCTGTTTCAACTCATTCCGTCTGACGATCACCTGAAATTAATATAAATTCCAAAATCCGTCCAAAACGTCCATTTTTCAAAAGAAAGTGTCCTCCCCGGTGCACGTGGCGCGTGCCAACCCCTGCACCGCACACCATTCGATAGCCCGTTCGATTCTCTACACGATGCTGTTTTCCCCGTACCGGTCGGGCCCACGGTTACCGAGATATTGCACCGGGACCGGACCCGTGTCGGGCAAATTTGGCTGTTTTCGCCCGTTTTTGCCAGCCGATTAATACATGTAAAGTCTATGACGCGAATTTGCACTTTTTGGGCACGCGCCACGCGCTCGCTATCGATCCGATCGAGCTGAGACCCATCAAAGGCACGTTGTCCATCCTTGTTCTATGAGTTGCGCAAACTTCAGCGCGGTAGGTGCAACGGTGTGACCTGTAACCCGCGCTACGTAGCACCATGTCGCAACCTTCGTAATAGACAGAAACTACGTCACCACAAATAGTAATATAGATTAAAAAACATAAAATCGGCTCTCACCTCGAGACGCGTCCACCCAGCCACACGACAGAACAGGGAAAGATGGCGCCCGGAAAACCTCGTCGGCTGGTCGTGTCACGAGCGCTATCTATTGGATAAGTTTGGCACAATTCGCCCTGATACAACTTCGACATGATACAACTCTCCCCGCTCTCCCCTACATGTTTCTAGGCTAGTTTTTTGAGCTGAATTCGAATTT